GTTCTTGTTTGATGTCTTTAGTTTGATGTTTTAGTTTGATGTCGTCAATTGGTTTAAGACAACAAACAAATAAATTAATATTGTTCAAGGGTTTATGAATATTTCATTTTATTGTATAAAACTTTAATTAAAATAATAAAATATGTTATACGATGTTTTAGTTTGATGTTCTAAATGCAAATATGTTTTTAAATATATATTTTTGTGGCTATAAAAATAGCCGTTTGTTTTAGTTTGTTATAACAAACTTAACATGCTAACGTTAGCATGTCCAATCTTTGACTAACAAATATGTATGTATTGACTGTATGCTCACTAAATTGATCGTTTGTGATTCTAATCATCTTTAATTCCAAGAATAAGGACGTTAAAATTGCCAAAATCTTTTTATAAGAATGTGATCGCTAAAAGCTTTTTGCCCGATATAATAATGGCTTCCAACGCATTAAATTGGCTTCACTAAAAACGGCGAAGTTAGATATCTAGTTATTTATTTACATCATTGGTACTATGTTGTTAGAATGTTGAAAATTCCGTAATGATTTGTTTTTTGTTTTGTTTTAGAGGGGGGGGGGGGGGGTGCAGAAATATGTGACAGTTTGAGATAGAAAGTGGGGGGGGGAAGGGGATTGAAAATTGAAAAAAATAGCGTGACATATTTTATGAACGACCCCATATCATCAATTAATCATGTTGATTGAGCTAAATATGTAAATCGTATGCGTATCTGATGTCCAACTGTTATGTGTCAGTTTAAATGATGCAAGCTAAAGACAAAAAATAAATTTTTTATATCAGAATATCAGCTTTTACACTTAGTATATGGTTCTCACGGACTAAAGAATTAAACGCTTTTGCATTTCTATGGTTTTCATCTTCAAACAAGACCCGATATTATTCCCAAACTAATGTTTGTTCTTTAATTGTTATCATTTAAAGCCTCATGAAATATTTCAATATTTTTTCAGAGCACGATAAACTCATTTTTTCTGCAGCAATCTGTGTACAATCGCACTATATAATAACATAAAACTTCTTTTGGATACAGGTCCGACGACACGTGTTTTAAAGTGGGAGGGGGGCGCAAAATATCAATTTGTGAAAAAAATCCTTTATATCAAGATTTTCTTAAGAAAAAAAAAAAAAAAGTGGGAGACGTGTCTTTCTGGCCCCCGGGTGTTGTCGGCCCTGCGATATACTTATTAGAACATTGTATATAAACAATAATTTAGTAGTTAAATATTTAAATAAAAAGTTTTTTTTTTTAAAAATACAATTTAAAGTTTTTAATAAAATATTGTTTCCGTAATGTGAGTAGGGGAACTAGCTCAAATGGTAGAGCGCTCGCTTAGCATGCGAGAGGTACGGGGATCGATGCCCCGGTTCTCCAAAGCGACTATTTTTTTCGATTTTTTTGATAGTTTTGAACGTTGATATTTTTCATATATATTTAATTTTGATTATAAACGATATTTGATTTTGGTTAAAAAAAAAGGGTATTGGAAAATTATAATCCCAGCGGGCATTTTGACGTCCTAAGTACGTCCGTAAGACGTCTTAAGTCTCGTCCGTAAGACATCCTTAGTTGGTCTCAAATGAAAGGCTTGAGGACGTCTATTCCAGACGTCCTAAAGACGTCTTTTTAAGTTGTTTTAGAGACGTTTTTTGACGTCTTATGGCTTGTCTAATCTTAAAGAACGTCTTTTTCAGACGACCTAGAGACGTATGAATTTTACCAAGACATTCTTTTAAAAAATATATAAAAATGCAATGATTTACAACACAAACCTTACATTTGCCTTAATCTAGGCAAGGGAAGTTATAAAAAGAAATCAATGTAAATAAAGTGTAATTTGATATATTTAAAATAAATTAATAACCTTACAAAAAATAAGAATAATTTTTCAAACAAAGTTACATTTTTCAAATTAAAAACTAATAGGTAATGTGGAATATAATCGATAGAACATTATAAATAGAAGAAAATTGCTTAAAAATGGAAACAAAAAAATACAACAGTTAATTGAGCCATCATTGATCGAAATCCATATTAGTGGATGTTCTCTTTATTCGGTCAGAAGAATGCCTAATTACTTTCCCAATAAGTTGGATAGCATCCATTTTGGTTAAGTTTTTATTACACTTTAAAGCAGCTTCTAATAAAAACAACAAAACATGTTCCAAAAAGATCATAAAAAAAAAATACATGTCATGTATACATAAACTTGAATACATGTCATGTTCCATAGCCAAAGAAAACAATTTTTTTTTTTTTTTAAATTAAAACATCTTTTTTAATTTTTAATTAGTCAAACACATTAATAAGCTAATAAGAATACCAGTGACAGCGTAACATAGACTTGTCAACTCTTTAAACTTTTTTTTCTTCTTTAGACAATTCATGCTGTATTCTGACAAAATAGTGTCTGTTGGCAGTCTACATATATAAAAAAGAAGATAAATGCTGTACTGTCAGTCATAAATGTTAAAATTCAAACTTTTGCAAATTACTTACAAGAGCAAAATATTTTTAATTGTATCAGCTAGATTTTTACCGCCAATTAATGATAACTGTTTCACCTAAAAAAAAAACAATGTATAAGAAACATTGAAAATGTTAATGACAATTTAAAATAAATATTGTAATAATATATAACATATAAAAAATAAAGATGAAACTCATGTATACAAAAGTGATGTATTGGATATCTCCATTTGCGGATTTTTTTTTAAAACATTAAATTTATCTGAACTTTTATGTTGTTTAAAACCTTCTTCTGGATTATTAGACAACAGTGCAGTTCTATCTACTAAAACTTTTTTCATTTCAGCAAGTTGGGATATAAATTTTTTCTAAAACTCTGAAAAGTAAAATATATAAGTGAAGCCATATAAACAGTATATAAAATAGTAAATAGTACTTGCTATATATGGTTGAAAAGAGGTAGATTTAAACTGAATAATGCAAAAAATCTCAAGTTTCATGCTTAACCTTAAAAAAATATAGAAACAAGTAAAGTTCAAGAAAATTATAGGGTTTTTTTAAAATATATATATATATATATATATATATATATATATATATATATATATATATATATATATATATATATATATATATATATATATATATATATATATATATACATATGTAATAAATTTAAAACAATATTATACATTGTATAATATTGTTTTAAAGAATTCAAAGAAATATTCAAAATTTTTGAATATTTCTTTGAATTCTTTAAAACAATATTATACAATGATTAAAAAAAATGATTATGCAATATTATGCAATGATTAAAAAATCTTATTTGCCATTTATATGAAAAGTTCTTTGAAGGTTAAATAATTTGTACATGCACGTGCAATACAGAAGAGAAGAGAATGTGCAATACAGAAGAGAAGTTTTACAATTAGAGTCAGAGTCGCGATTTTGCTTAGCAACTTTGACTCACTTTCAATGTTGCAACTCCAACTCTATGACTACTAGAGTTGCAAAAAAAACCGTTTTTTTTTAATTGTGTTTTTTTTGCAAAAAAAACATGTTTTTTTTGTGTTTTTTGTGTTTTTTATGGTTTTTTTTGTTTTTTAGATTAAAAAAAAAATTATTTACTTTTATTTAATTTTTATTTTTATTATAAATGTAATATAATATATATTAATAACATGATATATGGTAAATATATAGTACATCATTTAAAAGATTTATTTTTAATTAATAACAGATTCTGTATTCTGGCTTTCTTGTTCATTAAGGTCTTCTATTGCCTGGCATATTTTTTTTTAGATTTCTTTTTTTTTTTTTAATTAAAAATAATTAATAGATTACAAATTGTTTAATATAAATGTTTTTTCATTAGACAAAGTTAATCATCGCGTTATTTTTATTTACTTAAATATTGTTTGAATAAATAAAATTTTAGCTATCTAATTGCAATAAAATAAAGAAATTAAATATTAAAAATTTAAAAAAGTAATATACAAAAGTAAATAAAACATTAAAGTAAATTTTATTTAACAGTTGGTTCATTTTTGTATTTTGCAATGCAGTGTTATTTCATTCATTTTTATGAATGAAATAACACTGCTAAAATAACATTTTTATTTCCTTCATTCAGTAGTATTATACTTACAATCAACTAGTAGCTAATAGTATAGTTTTTTTGAGATTTATTTAAAAAATTACTTTTTTAAATATTTAATAATGTTTTTTTTTAATATTGGTGATTAGTTTGTAACAGCTATTATATAAGTTAATATGCATTTTATTAAATAGAAAACATAAGTTTTTTTTTGTAGGTTTAAGGGCACTGGAACTGTTTCAAGTATTATTATTATCTAAAATTTAATGAATACTAAAAAAAAGCAAAAAAAACTATAAAAAACATGTTTTTAGAACCAGTCTGTTTTTTTTGCAAAAAAAACGTGTTTTTTTTTAAAAAAAACACACCGTTTTTTTTGGGGTTGCAACTCTAATGACTACGCAACCTCAATTGCTCTGTTCTTTAAGAGCATTGCAATTGCAGACATCACTCTGTTTGGAGAATATACTAACATAATTTGTACATACAGGCCTTGTTTTAAAGCGTTACGCCTAGAGCGATTTACGTACGCCTTAAGCGCTTTTTACGTACTGTTTACGAGCTGTTTTGGTTAAGCTACTTTTTATCATTTTTTAACTTTTAAATTAGCGGTAACATAAAAGAAGTAATTTATTTTCAAAAAAACCACATTAACTTTTAAATAACGATATGTAAAGGTATTTATTAAAAAAAAGAATTTACTTTAAAATTAATTGTTGTAACTTTTCATCGCGATATATCTTTCCTTTTTATAGCAATTAATTTGACGCTAAACTTTTTATCCAAATATTTAGCAACATGAAAAATTGTTTGTCAATCCTTAACTACAAATTTTTTGCAATTATTATTTATTCTTTTAAACACCCAATAATTACATAAACTATAGGTAAAAGTATTAAAAAAAACAAAGCACATTTAAGTATTTTCTTGCATCGTTCTTGGAATGTTTTCCTCCATCAGCGTTCTAAATACTTCTCTTTGTTCCTTTAAATTCCAGTGTTGGAACGATTGTTTTAAGATCGCCGCAACATTGGCCTCCAATGCTTCCTGAGGGCGTGCAATTATAATTTTCTTACCCTCGATCATAAATTGGAGCATGTTTATATCAGCTTTCTTACACATTATCATTACCTCACCCGAGGTAATGATAATGTGTAAGAAAGCTGATATAAACACCTGAGGTAATGATCGTTGATTCATTAAAGGCATCTGAGTCCGTATAATCGAGTAACATATGGGGTTGTTTAAAAGCCTGATAAATAGATTTAACTTGTTGCGAAAAAGAATGTCTGACACAGCGTCTACTTTGAAATAAGAATGTAGATAATTTCTACTTTGCTTTGAAATATTAAAGAAGGATTTTAAGACAGATCGTCCAGCTATATCAATGCTATTTAGAAGCTTATTGCTGCTTCCACACAGTTCTAATCCGTATAACAACGTTGGAACAGCTAAAGAATTAAATAAATGAACTATGGTAGCAGGCTGGCAAAAGCGAAGTCCATTTCTTATAAGACCTTTTGCAACAGATAAAAATTGCGTTACACGTTCAGTTATATTTTGTTTTTGGAGTGTTGCTGTCATTTTTTTGTTCTTATTATCCCAAAGGAAACCAAGATGTTTTAGATTGTTTTGAGGCTTGATAGGATCACCGTTAATATAAATAACGTTAATTAAAATCGAACTTATTCCAGATATTAGAAATTCAGTTTTTTCTGTATTCAGTTTAATAAAGTTCGATAGTCCATACTTTTGAACAATGTTAATAAGGCTCTGAAGACCAGATATAGTGGAACTTTGTAAAACTATATCATCAGCATATGCAATGATACCTGTGTATACACCATTTATTGAAGTTCCAACTTTTGATTCTGAAACAATTTTCTCTAGAAGGTTCTCTGTGTAGATATTGTAGAGATGAGGCGACAGTATGGATCCTTGACGCACTCCCTGAGACAGCCTAAATTTGTTTGATGTACATCCAAGATATGATATATTAGAAGTTCCTGTTTGATATAGTGATAATATTGTATGAACTATAGATAATGGGATTTTTTTCTGGTAATAGAGTTTCTCGAATAGTAATTCCCAATTACAACTGTCAAAAGCTTTGTTGGCGTCTAGACTGCATATATATAGCGGTGAGTTATTATGATTATAGTGCTTTATTGTTTCACTCAGAAGAAATTCTGCGTGGAGGGTAGAGCTGTTTTCTTTAAAACCGAATTGATGGGAGTGACTTTCTGTTATATCTGGACATATGTGTATGATAAGATATTCGAGAAGTTTTGTAAAAATTGGTATAATGCTGATTCCTCGATAGTTATTTGGATTTTCTAGTGATGTTTTATAAGACTTGACTAATGGGATAATTTTGGCGGTTGATAAACCGTGTGGAACCTTTCCATTTGTTAACATATTGTTATAAAACGACGAAAGTAAAATAAGAAGATTCTTGTTGTGAGAGTTTTTAAGATGTTCGGCACTGATTTCATAGCAATCGTAAGATTTATTATTTTTAAGCTTTAAAATACATTTTTCAATATCAGCTGTCGAGATAACTTTTGAATTAGGCTCTTTACTTAAATGTGGAATTTGGAGAGGATTGAACTCGTTATTTGTATATTGCGGTGTATTAAGTAGTTTTTGGAAATGATGACTAAATTCTTCGACGATTTCGTTTTTGTTCTGCAATTTATTAATTGTAAAGAGTCGATTGTTAGTATTTTTTTTGATTTTTCGAATATTACCCCAAAACCTTTGAGGATTTGTATTGCGTAAGTGTTCTATATTTTTAGTTTTTTCGTGAATTTTTTTGTTATGTGCCGCTTTTACAGCTTTACGAAAGTTTTTTCGGGAATAAATAAATCTTTTGTAGGATATACATTCTGTTGACTTATTATAGCCTGATTTTTGCCATTGTCTAAAGTGAAAGGAGAGATTATCTTTAATTTTTTTAAGCTCAGGTGTCCACCAAGGTTTCGAGTACTTATAAAATTCTTTTTGTCCGAAACATTGTTTAACTGCCAAGAGAGCTGCATTTTTTATATATAAGCATGTTTTTTGAATTTCTTCTTCTATTTTATCTTCCTTAAATGCGTAACTAGTAAATGCTTTTGATAGATTGAGATTATAAAAGTCAATAAACCTTTCGTTATTCCATGCATGTTTTGGTATTGAATTATATTTTTGCATTATATTATTTATTTCGTGTGATAAGCCGGTACCTTCAAAGTTAATATTCGTAGACACCGGAAGGTGATCACTAAGGTTAAGCGGTGAAGATTGCATAACTTGACAGTTTGTAAAACATAGTTCTGTCTGTTTATAGGATGCAATATGGTCAATGTAAGAAGAATTAGAAAGAGTTTTATGTTGATAGGTATAAGTAGGCCCAGCACCGTTGATTATATCGACAAAAGCGAGCTGATTTGATTCAATAAAATTAGTGAGATGTTTTGAGAAATTGTTCCTAGTTTTGTTTTTACGAAGCTCTGAATCATATATTTTATATGGAAATGACTGAAAGTCTCCGGAAATAATACATTCTCCTTCATCCTCATAGTTGTTCATTATTGAAGTGATTGTTTGTAACTGAGAAGAGTATTTTGCGTATGATTCGTTATTATTACGACAAGATGAAAGGTAAACACCAATAAAAATTAAGTTACGATTGTTAAGTGTGCCTTTAATAGCAAGAATGTTTTCATCTTCATGTATTATGTAAAAAGACGACCATTTTTTTCGTACCATAAAAGCATTTCCTCCATATGGTCTACCGTGTGTATTTTTTTCTGCCGCATGAAAAAAAACTTTGTGTGTTAGTAATGCAATGTTATTTAACAAAAAACTCTCAATATTTAAAAGCCAATGTTCTGATATAAAAATAATATCGAAAGACTTTAACAACTTAGAAATATAATATGAATTCGATTTAAAGCTTTTGACAGTTATATGCACATAGCGTAATATTTGTGTTAGTTACATTTAATTCTTTTTCTCCCATTATGATTTCAATTTTTATTGTTGCATAAATGCTGAAGAGTGGTGTAAGAATTGTGGCAAATGATTTTCGGTATTTTGATGTGGTTTTTCGATTGTTAGTGCTTCTCGCCGCATTCTAAACGGTTTAACAATAATGTTGTTATCCCAAACATCGGGTTTAAGTACCATTCCTTTTTCAGTACTATTAATTTTTACTTTGAAAGAGCGGTTGTACATGTTTTCTCTATTAAGCTTTATGTCTAAAGGAGTAATACCTATTTCTTTATTCATGTAGTTTGATAGATCTTCTTCGGATATGGAATTACAAACTCCGCCTACAAATATATATGATTCTCGAATAATACGTTTGCCCGCAATCGAGCTTCTGTTGCTAGCGACTTTGTTTCCGAAAACGGGTTCTTTTTTTTGCTTATCCATATGGCTCTTATTAACTTTATTATTTTTTCCTACCACTTTGAATTCTTGATAGTCTGTTACACAGTCTTTTTCTTTTTCTGGTTTCCGGTTATTTTGTTCCGGGTTTTGCATTTTAACCACGGTAGCGTAGGAATCTCTAATTTTATTTTTTCTATCGATATATAAACTTGAAATCTCTGTGCTGGAGTGTGCAGTAACTTCTTCCAGCGTATTTCTTTGATTTGGGGAATGATATTTTATTGAATTTGAAACAATAGATTTTATATTTTCTTGCGATTTATGAGGTTCACAATTACTTGTGTTGTTAAATTGTGACGCACATTGATTTTTCACGATTTCGTTATTTGTTTTTTGTAGTTCGTCGTATTTTACCTGTAATAGATGCAAATCTGCCATAATTTTTTTATTTTCTAATTGTAATGCTTTTAACCGATCAATAACTTCTTTTAAAATCAATGCCATATTTATATCTGGCGGTTGATACATTTGTTGACTAGCTTGTTTGGAGTTAGAAATCAATTTAATAAAGTCTTTATGAAGTTGATTTTCCGCTAAAGAAATCGACATCAGATAAATATCATCAAGACATGTTAATATCTTATACCGTTTTCTCAGATTTTTTTTAACGGGATCTTCCGCGTCTAGAATAATGTTTAGCAGTGAGAACTGCTCTATGTCAAAACGTTCCAATATTTCTTGAAATAATTCCACTCTTAATTTGAAAACTTCCGCCTCCTTAAATTGAGAAAACCCATAGATGATTACATCCCTTGGATGTGAGCAGATTTCCTCTACATTTATAATATAGTTCTCTAAAATATTGTTACTTGACTGTATTGTTAAAAACAACTCACCAATTTCTCTTGGCGCCATATAGCATAAAGTTTAAATACATTTACATACAACGAAGCGTGCTCAAGAACAGCTGCTTATTTACGCAATAAAACAAGAGTTTTTCATGTTTTTAATAAAAAGTTTGTAATGTAATGTTTGTAAATGTAATGCAATTACAGTAATTGCATTACATTAGTAACATCAGTTACATTACATTACATTACATTACATCCACCCGATCCTAAGTAAAATTTGTCGATCTCATCGAAATAAAATATCTCTGTGTTTTCCGATCTCATCAGCCGTGTATTTGCCACACCGCCACACATGTGATATTATTTTTCGATGTCATCGAGTTATGTTTTTTACGTATAAACCTAATATAATAATAAGGCTGGAATTTCGTAGCGTTGGAATTTCGTAGCGAAGGTTTTAATTTATTTAAATGGCGTCTAGAAGTTCACGAAGCTTTCGAGCTCGAAGAAAAGTTACTATTAATGTTGTTGGAGAATACAAAAGAAAAGTTACAAAAAATTGGTACGGTTCTAACAATGCTGAAACTCAACCTTTAAAAAAAAACAAAGGTATATTTAAAATTAATTTGCACTTACATACATAAACAAACATTCTTATTAAGAATGTTTATTTATGCATTTGTTTATTAATAATTAGACACATTCAAGAATGTGTGTTTATTCAAGGTCTTAAATACAACATTTTTAAGAATCTTAAGAATGTGTTTATTCAAGATCTTCATTCATTCACATTCATGTCTAACTATTAATTAAGCAACAATAAGGAACATATATAAGGCTTTATATATATAAGGCTTTATATAAGGCTTTATATATATATATATATATATATATATATATATATATATATATATATATATATATATATATATATATATATATATATATATATATATATATATATATGTATATATATATATATATATATATATATATATGTATATATATATATATATATGTATATATATATATATATATATATATATATATATATATAATATATATATATATATATATTTATATATATATATATATATATATATATATATATATGTATATATAGATATATAGATATATATATATATACATATATATAATATATATATATATATATACATATATATATATATATATATATATATATATATATATATATATATATATATATATATATATATATATATATATATATATATATATATATATATATATATATGTACATATATATATATATATATATATATATATATATATATATATATATATATATATATAATATATATATATATATATATATATGTATATATATATATATTATATATATATATACATATATATATATATATATATATATATATATATATATATATATATATATATATATATATATATATATATATATTATTGTTATTATTGTTATTATTGTTGTTGTTATTATTGTAGTTGTTGTTATTATTATTATTATTATTAATTGATGTAACTGGTATGAACCAGTTACATCAATTATATTTTACTATAACATCTGATTTATCTGATCGCTGCTCATCCAGCAATCAAGACCGGCTTTAAAACTGTTAACTGTTTCTGAATTAACCAAATTGTTCGGCAAGCTATTCCACAAATTGGCTGATCTGTTAAAGAAAAAGTTTCTGCGATGAGCTTGCTTAGTGAATTATTTTATATTTTTAAACCGGTGACCTCTTGTTTGATTTTGTTGAAAATTAAACTTTACTTTTGTTTCTAATTTGTTGAAACCGTTAAAGATCTTAAAAAGTTGAATCATGTTTCCTCTTTTTCTTCTATTTGTCAACTTAGTTAAGTCAAGAGCCTTTAGACGATTCTCATAGTAAATTTTCTTGAATGATAGTATTAGTCAAGTTACACGATGTTGAACTCTTTCCAATAAGTCAATTTCACCCTTTTGATTCGGTGACCAAACCGGTACAGCAAACTCTAATAGTGGCCTAACAAAAGATAAGTAAAGTGATCTCAGTAGTCTAATATCTAAATGAACAAAACATTTTCTAATCATACCCAGCATTTAATTTCCTTTGCCATGATATAACTTGATTTTTCCATTTTAGATTGTTTGCGAAAATTACTCCTAGATCTCTTTTACATTTAGAAATATTGAATTTTACAGGCCATTCTTGATTCCACTTGAAAGATATATCAAGATCTGCTTGCAAAGACACTGTTTGTAGCAAATTATTTCAGTCATTTGTAGCAAATTATTTCAGTCATTATTTTAGTGTCATTAGCGTACAACATAGATAGGTTTCAGGAAAATCGTTTATATATAGCACAAACAAAAATGATCCATTTTACTGACCCCTGTAGCACACCGCTGATAATTTCTAAATATATATTTATATATATATATATATATATATAAATATATATATATATATATATATATATATATATATATATATATATATATATATATATATATATATACATATATATATATATTTACATTAAATAAAAAGTATATGTATATATATATGTATGTATGTATATATATATATATATATATATATATATATATATATATATATATATATATATATATATATATATATATATATATATATATATATATATATGTATGTATGTATTAACAGATGTTGATGACGATGAGGTGTCTACCAGCAGCTCTCAGAACTACGATAATAATATAGTTATCAAACAATCATTTTATAAGAGATTACAGCCTCCATATAATGATATTACGAGGAAAAAGGCAGAAAATTGGTGTGCATTAAAAAAACAAGCAATAGGTTTAAAGTTGCAAAGTTCATCTGTATCACTGTTAGCAACAAGATGCACTGATAATGAAACTGGAAAAAATACTGAACCCTTGTTAAACATACCTTGTTGTATGTGTGATAAGGATGACTCTATAGATCAATTAATACAGTGTCCGGATTGTTCTTTTATTTGGTATTGCCGTGAGTGTTGGGAGCATTATCACCAAAAACTTTCTCTTTTTCATAAAGCTCGTGTTTGGTGTTCACAGGTATGTAATATATTCTTGAATTTAAATTTTCAATTCTAATATTTTTTAAATTTGTTAGAATTTCTAATTTAAAATTGTTTCTAACCATATTAAAGTTAAAAGAATTAAACCAGTTATCTTGACTTTTAATCAAGGTTGGGTATTTTAAGCAATATAACTGTGCAATGCGAGTCATCAAGTCCTCTTCTTGTAAATGTGTAAATTCTTTGAACAAAGAATTGATTGTCTTTGATTATTCAGGTACTATGTTTACTTTATTTTTAACTTATTTAAATAATTTCAATTAATTATATTTTCAATATATATATGTATATATATATATATATATATATATATATATATATATATATATATATTATATATATATTGCTACAGCAAAAAAGTGCACAAGCAAAATTAATTTTCATAAAAAATATTTTGTTAATTTAATAAATCTTTTTTTTAACCGAATATTGTATAATATTTAAGTAATATTGAATATTGTGTAATACAAAGAATTTTTCATTCAATTTAATTCAAGAAATTATAAAAAAAATAGTTATAAAAAAAGTAAAATTTAAATTCACTTTTTTAAATGCTGCCGAGGTGAATGGAACTTTTGAGGTACAGACCTCAAGGCATTTCTTTGCTGAGACCGAAAAGGCTGACTTTTGAACAATGTATATATA